TAAAGGATAAGAATATCATTCTTCAATTTTGTTAGTTACATAAAGTGTATTGTTATATATTATATATTAGGTTTAGGCTCAGTCTAAATTTAAGAGACTCAATTAATTATATATATTATATATGTCTTTGTAAATAATACATATAATTTCCTTCAAATATTCCTTTGTCACGCCCTTCAAAATCTATAAAGCTCAACTACTAACTAATGCTAACCAATTAAAAAAAATAAATTAAAAAACACCCCACATTTTATGTAAACTTTCTTTTTGTGATTTAACCCAAAGTTTGTCCATCAAACCATCATTAGGAAAACACAGCATAAGCCCCCACAAAACCCTTCTAATTTTTTAAATTAATCACTCGAAAAAAAATCGAATCTAGCTTATCGATGTTTTTATAATTATTCATAATTAATTACATAATGTTATAATATATATGCCCCTTTTCACATTTTTAGACTCTCAAAAAAGTCATGAAAAGACTTTCATAATTAAGACTTGGCTTAGACAAAAAAAACCTTGATAATTAAGCAACTATGACTTCTAATTATGCTTTGTGCACTGTTTAATTTGTACTGGTGTGTTAAGCACTATGGCAGATATGATTTGAGAAGAACTAGTACGTTACCCGCGCGTTGCGCGGCCTAATATTAAAATTGGTGTGAATGAATGAAAATTTAATAAAAAATATTTTTAAAAAATTTATTGAGATAATGTAGAATAAATTTTTTATTAATCCATTCAAAAATACTTCCACAAATACAACATCAATAGAAAGTGAACTGTGTATCACCAATAGTAATAACAATAATTAGACAACATGAATTGTGACTCCAGAAACAATAACAATTAACAAAAAAAGAAATTATAAATCCAATATAATTTGTTTTAAAAAAATTTAAAATTAAATTTTTAAGCTTACAAAAATGTGATATACCACGAAAAAAAAATAAATTGGTCACATTAAAGACTCTTCTTCAAAAATTTTCATAAAAATGTATATGTGATAACATAATTTTCATAGTTCAAAAAAGAAAATAAAGTCATGATTACTATTGTACCTATAAACTAATATTGAACATTATTGTTAACATGTAAGAAGATGAAAAATTAAAATATATAAATACAAATTAAATATCTAATAAAAATTAAAATAACTTCTATCTGCATGTATTTAATTTTAAATTAAGTCTACATATTTTTTTTTTCTTTTTATTAACAAAATAAATCTCAACTTCATTTTTTCACAAATTAAGTGCGATGGTGATTATAGAATGACGTGAAAGATTGATCATTTTTCATAAAGTCATAAATAGACTCATTAACTTAATATTAAAATATTTATTTTT